TAAACCCTCGCTGGCTCGCCCACGAGTCGAGCGGCAGAGCCAACGAGCCTCTCGGGCTGTTTGTCATCCCTACGTCCACGTAAGCATGATGATTGATGGTGTGAGGACGACGTGAAGGCAGGGAGACTCAATCAATACTACAATAATTTCCATGGAAGAGGACACTTTGTGGACCCACGTACACAAAACGGTTCAAAGATATATACATATAGAGAGAGAATGAGTAGGAGAGTATATACATATAGAGAGAGAGAGAGAAAGAATAGGAGAGATTTTGTGTCCATACTAATGATTGCAAGTGTTGGAGACTTGTCCCCTTCAAATACTGCAACTATTTGCACCCCCCCGCCCACCCCCCACGCGCATGTTATCAACCGTGACAAGTAAATTATAATTTAACTAATTATAAGTCTAAGAATCGAAATGTAATTCGGCCTGACATTAGTGCCTCTTTGTCTACCATTATTGCGATGAAAATAATGTAATGAATAGTATTTTTTGGAGAATGTGTTGTTAAAATTGAAAGAAACTTTATCGGTTTATATGTAGAATATTTTATTATTTGAATGTGTGGTGGAGATTGATTACTGCAGAAAACAATGTTTTGAAAAATGGTAGCCAAACAGGGGCATATTTCAATTGAAATAATTACTCCCTTCGGTATGATGACTTCTTGTATTTCTTCATCACAATTATATAGTCTTACAATCTTACTTCTTTATTGAAAATGATCTATTTTTTCATTTATTAATATACTCTCTTATTTAATTTGTCTAATCATTAAATCTCTTTACTACTTTCAAGAATAATCTACTACTAATTATTGATAATTAAATAAGAGTAAATTATGAAAGTTTCTGACAATTTTTTTTAATAACATTAAATAAAATTTCTTAATCCGTGTAAAAAAATACTAACATATATAAATGGAACGAATATAGTAATATTTTTGCCGCTTTAAGCAAAAATCATCAAATCCAAACTTTAAAATTGCTTATCCCTCATGTTCTTTGCGCATCATAAAAAGAATTTGATCAGACCTAATTAAACCGAAACTAGTTAATTTTCGTTCAATCAACTTCATTACTACATATAAAATTGTTTATAATATTCAATGTGGTAGGTACGATATGTGTTGTCCACCGATAATGTGACATGTGGTGGACAACATATTTTCTATTAATAGTGGATAAAAGATTAGTTATATTCAATTTGGTCCTATTCTTAGCGAAGTTAAAATCGAACTAAACAACTCAATAATGAAGCCCTCTATTATTGGGCCAATAACAAGTACCTGACCTGCCTAACCATGCGTACATCGCGTGCCCCCAAAACTACCCCGTTTAGGCGTTTAGCTTTTTGCCCACTTTATTTCCTCGTTGACTTTTCTGATGACCCTCACGTGGTCTCTTTTTCCCCTTTCGTTTTCACACTCTTGCGGGTGCTGCTCAAGGTCCATTTAATTGTAAGAATGAAATTTTGATATAAAGAAAATGAATTTCAGGAATTAAATTGCCTAAAACTTATTTTATTGAAAATTTTCAATTAAATGTGTTTGATTAATATAATTTTTTATCTGAAAAATATTGAATTTTTGAATTTTTGGTGTTCGTTTAGCTTTATTTTCCATGAAAATTGTTCATTAAAGTGATAGAATTTGTTACAATTTGGGGTAAAATTTGTTTCCATTGCAAAAAAATTTTAAAAAAAGTTGCTTGGAAATTTTTTTTCTCAAAAGTCAAGAAAATGTGAGCATGTGGGTGAAAGATGGAGAACCAATTTCATGAAAAATTTGGGTAATCAAACATGCAAAAATGTAGAAAATGAAATTTAGTTTCCATCTTCCATGGAATTGAAGTGCAATCAAACATGACCTAAATTTAATTTGGAGCCAATTAAAATTTCTTTTAGCAATATTAATAAAAAATTAGACATTTTAATGGATTCATTAATTATATATAATTATTCACAACTCATTTTTTTCTGTATTTATAAATTAAATTGTTTATATATTTTTTTTTAATAGAGGTCGATTAAAAACTGGAAATCGAAATAATTAATTAAAATATAATTTTGCACTATTAGTTACACACTATAGTCTTCGCAGATATAAAAACAAAAATTTATCAACAACAAAATAGAGTTGAAAATTCTACGACGTTAATTATATTACATGATTCATGTCAACAATCAATTGGTTCTTCACAAAGCCGGCTTATTGGATTTGTTTTATGTGTTTCTTATTTTGGAAAAACGCTTTATCCAAATTTCAATACTATTTCAAAATTCATTTTTAACCACACATTTTTCAATAAAATATTATTTTTCATCACATTAATAATTTTTTCTTACTTTTTAATCACATATTTCACATCATATCACTATTTAAAAAATATTATTTACTCAATAATATCCATCAAATACACCCTACGAGTCTGTTTGAGCTCCATTTTCTGTTCAAAATACATTTAGGAACAGTATTTTGATATAGAATGTGTAATTAAAAAATAAAAAAAATTATATTTACTTGTTATATTTTATTGAAATGTATGGTTGAAAACAAGGGAGAAAAATAATGGCTAATTTTGTGAAGTAATGCCCTGTTTGAGCCAAATTATTGTAGAATGAGAATAAAAATATAGTTTTTATTAGGACCCACATAAGAGATATAAAATTTGAATTTAAAAGTTGATGTAATGGATAGTAGTCATATTTTTCATTTTAATGAGACAAATTATTATAGAATGAGAATGAAAAATATAGTCTTTATTGAGGCCCACACAAGAGATTGAAAATTTGAATTTAAATGTTGATGTGATGGATAACGGTCATATTTTTCATTTTAATGAGATAATAATGTAGATTAAACGGGGACTAAAAGATAATTTTTGAATGGACACGTGTTATGTTTTAGGGGAGTGGTGAGTTGGCATACAGTTTAGCAGACAATAATAATAAACGAAAAGCGTGAAAAATAGGGTGACCGGCAGTTACCTGTTAAGACGCGTCGTCAAAGGCAGCAAATGTCACGCTTTTAGGATTATTGCAATTATTGAAAGTGATGCAGCCTTTAATGATGACAATAATATTACTTTGAAAAGGAGAAGAAAAAGAAACTGTATGGTGCCATGAATTATGGGGAAACAGACAGTGACCTTAAAAATAACCTCAAATAATTCCCCCGTGCCGGCTTATTACTATTCCCACTCTTTTGACAAAGATGATGTCTCCCAGGGTATGTTTGGTGACAGGTGAAATACAGTAGAGGAAGGAATATGCGTAGCAGAATTTGTCAATAATTGTTCAATTATTTGTATGGTTCAATTATTTCCACTTATAATGAAAATTTGCACACCAAACAAAGCCTAGCGTGAGATTATGAAAAAGTATTCAGGTTTAGCAGTCTTAATTAGAATTACAGATAGTCGTGGCTTTTTCTTGGACTAATAAAAAAGCAATCGGATTCGATTTGACCTGTGCCTGCGCTAAGCATCATTGGTCAAATCTCATGCTTATCTCTTACTTTATTATTCACTTATTATTCCATTTAAGCCACTTGCCCAAACTCCCAGGTTGTTTGTGTTATATCCAATCGTTTTCGGACACGCGTCTATCTGACGTTATATTTTAAATGGTACCAACTAATACTCTATACGACACTTTTTCAATTACCTTTTTGTCACAATTTTTTTTTTTGGTTGTTTGAAAGAATGAGTTTAAATAATAAATTTTAAAAGAATATATGATTAAAAAATAAGATTTGTTTTTGAATTTATATGAATAATATTTTATTCTAAGAATGTATGCTTAAAAATGATTATAAAAAATAACGAATTTATATGAAAAGAAAAAAAAAAGAGACAAATAGTGATTGATGGCTAATTTACTTGGGTTAAAACTCGTCATATCACTTATTTCTTGTCACGCCAGTATGGAACGAAAACATTGCAAGTAGAATAGTAAAATTAGAGAGCACATTTCGCATGATTTTAATATTTATTTTATTATCAGAATGTGTGATTGAAAAAATTTCAAAATAATAATAGACAAACATGGACTATGATTCGTCAAACTATTTTTATTTATAATTTCGTAAAATCAATAAGTATTACATAATTTTCACAATTTATTTCTATTTATATATAATCAAAATTGATTATACACAGACCGTGTTTAATCCACATTTTTTCTCTTTTTTTCAACTACGCGTCCTTTAATAAAATAATATTACACTCAACTAAAAAAAATTCATTCATTTTAACTACATATTTTTTATTAATCTACCATTTCAACATGCATTCTACACGAAAATGGAGGTCAAAGAGGCCCACAATTTTCAAACATGTTTTTATTCTTTTTTTATTTATTTATAAATTAACTAACCATTTATGTTTGAAAAGAAGAATTGAATATTATCACAAATTTAAGGTCCCCCAAAATCTCGTTGGTGGGGACCTCTACTACCCTATTAAATAAAATAGGACTTTCACGTGTGTTCTTGTCAACATGAGTATGTCGGTCAAAGGAACAATTATGCTAATTATAGCTTAAATTCCTTAAAACAAAATTAATTCTAGAAGATAATAATAATTATTGCTTAAAAAATCAAAAGAAAAGTTGAAAAAGAGAAGGAAAAAAGGACTTGTCACCTGATTTATGTGTGTTTGGTCTGCTGCTACCACTCCTTGTCCCGTTTTTCTTTCATTAATTAATTATTAAACCGAAAATACTAACAACTCACGACTATTTTCTCACGACGAAATTTATTTATTTTTTCATCGAAATCTAACATGTGAACAATTTATTTACACGAGTAACTATGACGAGATTTAAATATCATGTTGAGTTACTCGATCTAAAAATTAAACTATTAAGATGTGTCTTAATATTAATTAATTTTATAATTAATAGATTAGGTAGAACTAAAATCTGTCTATAAAGACTCTTTCCGATGCTTTTAATCAGAAATCCCTCTTCAGTTTCTCTCTCTAGGATGAGAGATGGAGTTGCGTTTAAGCTTAGGAGATTCATCAAAACCTGTTGAATTCTTGACTCAGAACAGTGCCTCCGAACAGCAAAATCCCATCAAGAAAAATGGTTTCAATTTCTGCATGGAGTTGGGTCTGAACACAAATGGTGGAAATCAAGAAAATAAATCACATGAAAGAGATGGTGGTGATGATGATACTTCAGAAGATACGAGGGAGGATTTCATGGAAAATACTCCGATTCAGCTTGATCTTCTTCCTCGCGCTCCTGTCCCTCGTCGAACTCCGTCTCACCTTCAACCCCTTCCATGGTCTTCTGATAACGGTAATCGGATTTTTTATTCAGTTTCTTCAATAAGTACGTCTGATTTTAGTATTTTACTGTGTTTATTTTCTGCATAAATTTTTATTCTGGTTCTTGTTTTAAATTACCCAGGGAGTTCAGAGAATGGTTCAATATCGGGCAACGTTGGGCTGCTAGCAGCGGCGAGGGGGTTGGAGGTCAACAGGCCGCCGGCGGAGGAGGTTTCGTCTGCAAACAGTGTGGGCTCACCCTTTCAGATGGATTTTGGCATGTATACAAATACAAATACCGGAAATGAAAACCTCGGAGGAAACGACGTCGTAGAGACCGAAAGAGTATTATCCTCTAGGGCCAGTGATGATGATGAAAATGGCTTTAACACAAGAAAGAAGCTCAGATTATCTAAAGAACAGTCTGCTTTTCTTGAAGAAAGCTTCAAAGAACACAGCACCCTTAATCCTGTGAGTACAAATTATTAAGACAAATTAGGAAATTTTCTTTTCAAATTTGTTCTGACTTTCATTTGGATTGTGCAGAAACAAAAGCTTGCACTCGCAAACCAGCTCAATCTTAGGCCTAGACAAGTTGAAGTCTGGTTTCAAAACAGAAGAGCAAGGTCTGTTTTGTACTGAATTAGGCCATTGTTAGGTATTATTCAGTGAGTGCGCCTGGACTGGATTATTCATGCATTTATGTGTGTATTTATGCAGAACAAAGTTGAAGCAAACAGAAGTTGATTGTGAGTATTTGAAGAGGTGTTGTGAGACATTAACTGAAGAAAACAGAAGGCTACACAAAGAGTTGCAAGAATTGAGGGCTCTCAAGACTTCAAATCCATTCTGTACTCAACTCCCAGCCACCACACTCACCATGTGCCCCTCATGTGAACGTGTAGCCACCACTTCCGCCGCGGCCACAAATGCTAGAACCACCACTATTGACTCCACAACAAAACCCATAAATCCATTTCCTTTGTCTAGACCAAGGTTTTACCCTTTCTCCCAAGCACCACCGCCTGCCCCCCACCACCACCACCAGTCTGCAGCGTCATAAATGAATGGAAAAATTAGAATTTCTATGTGAATTCTGTAGATATACCGAAATATGTTGTTATTGGATGGGGCTTTGTTTGATGTTTAAGGGTGTTAAAAAATCCACTCATGAGCATTTTTTTAGCTCATATTATGTGAATTTTGTGGGAAAAAAATACAAGTATTAAAAAAAAAAATTAATAGTCTGGCAAGGAAAAGGTGTAGCCCTTATTTTCTTTTATTTTCTTGGAACATATAAATTATAAAAGGAATTATTACAAATTATGTTATTCAATTTTATTGAATTATTGCCTTTTATTCTATTAGTTTATTGCAATTCTTACATCCTTAATAGTAATATTGGCTTACAAATAATTAAATTAAATTAAATTTGAATTTGTGTGCGTCATGCTAGTACAATTTATACTACATAAATCAAACACAACAAAATGTATTTTTTTCTCTCTTATTTTTATTCATATATTCTTCAATCGAATAATATTTCATGCAAATTCAAAACTTTTTCATTTTTTCGTTAATCACACATTTTTCGTCAAAATGCTATAAAAAATTGGGACTCAAACATGTTCTAATTCAACAATGGGTAAAGAATAAAAAGAGGGTTCTAAACGTAATTTATGGGTTATTTGGTATTAAGCAAAATTTCTGCATGAAGTCCTCAATATATACCCCTAACTTGTTCAACCACATTAATTAACTTTTCGTTTTCTAGTACTTTTTAACAAGGTAATCATAACTTTTCATTTCGCAGCAAGCTTTGGTCTCCACTCGAAGAATAAAAAGTCAAATTTCAATAAAATGACAATCATTACCTTATTTCAATATAGAAGAAAATAAAAAAATTGCATCCTAAATTTCCAATAACAAGCATCATTGGGGATTTGGGATTTTATCATAGATGCGAAATGAAAGAACCAAGCACACGCCTGGAAAATGCGAAAAACAATTTTTGGATGAGTGGGGAGAGACTTAGGGGGTGGAAAATGCAAGGGGAAAAAGAGACACGGGAGAAGAAGAGAAATCCAAAGGACGACGTGAGAAAAAATGAGAGAGAGCAAGGAGGCGTGAGTCGCTAGTAAGATCATAATGTAAAAAATAAATAATATCTAGTATCATTAATGTTATAAATTAGTACGTTAATCGTACTTCTCATTTAATAGTACGTTAGTACCATCTAGACCAATGTTTTTTTTACATCAATTGTGCTAAACAACATTATTTAATGTAAAATACACAAAATTGTGCGAGTCAAGTGCATTTTGACGATTAATCATCTTCAACAAACTTAGATATTTTTGAAAATTCAAGGATGACCTTTTCAAAAACTTGACCAAAAATCAACTTTCGAAAATCTATTAGGTGAGGTCCGTGAGGAGTGCTAAAGGGTGCATATTTCCAATGGAAAAATTTATTTGTGTTTATTGGCTTGTCCCATGGTCCAAGGCATGCTTTAAGAAAAGGGTGGGGGGTGTCAATTAGGTTCCTTTTTTCAATGATTTCATTCAAACCCCATTAATTGAAGGGCGTGTATGAATGAATCATTTATTTCTAGGACTGAGAGAATGGGGACAAAAGGTAGCGTATTCATGAAGATGTCTGCTAAAGCGTGGTGCCCTTTATCAACACCAATTATTAGTGCACACAAACAAACATTTCTAGTTATTCAATTCTTTTCCTCTACTTTTTGCATCATTCTTTCGATATTTTCACGTCTTATGATCAAATTAGATATTTTTAATATAATCATGATACACGTACATCATGCTTTACATCAAGTTTGACATCGTGTAACTTGGTATATTTTTTACGCATAACGGAAGTAAAAGATTTGCCAGTATAAATCTTGAAAATAAGAAAATTGAAATTCTCCAAGAACGAAACTTGTATGCAAGCAATAATGATGTCGAAAACGCTCAAAAAGCCTTTAAATAAGCGTTACAAGAAACCCTAAAAATATAGAATAATAAAACGTTCCAAAAATAGCGAAAATTCAAAACTAGGAAATACAAAAATTAATTATTCGGAGGCCTAAACGAAGGAATTTGGCTAAAATCCCGAAATCTCCGCCCCAAGTCCAATTTTTNAAACGAAGGAATTTGGCTAAAATCCCGAAATCTCCGCCCCAAGTCCAATTTTTGGGGCCGTTTCTAATCAACTAGCCAAATTTCAGCCCATTCCGACACCGTTGCGACAAATGCCAAAATTGCCCCCGGCGCGGTCCTTTTTTGTATATTTGCTTTCCAGCACTTCTTCAAACTCCAAAACTAGTTGTTCTACATCAATTTTTGTGCATTAATTTTAACAACATTTTTTCAATCAATCACCAGATTTCTTACACAGAGAGAATGTCAAAGATGATGTCAACCACAAGTGTACAAGAATCATAATTTTTTTTTTAATATTGGAAGAATGATATATCACTTAACAACCTTATTTAATTTATAAGGGTCTGCTTGACGGGAATTCTTTTCTTATAGTAGAGTTTCCTTATAAAATTAACTTGTGACAATTTTTTTCCAAAATCTAGTTACTTAAAAGTAACTTTATTTGGTTATAAAGATAACCAAACATGGTGGAAGTCCCACGTAGGATCCTTGTCTAGTACTATGTAGGCTTCCAAATAAAAATGACAACCACTTGACCATTATTAACCCAACAACTCACCACCAGCAGAACGGAAGACGAAGATTTACGAATATAAATATGAAGAACCAAATTTGGAATTCATCAAAGAAACGAAATTTTATAATAATCAATAATGATCCGAAAAACGTTCAAACGCCTTTAAATAGGCGTTACAAGAAACCCTAAAAATATAGAATAATAAAACGTTCCAAAAATAGCGAAAATTCAAAACTAGGAAATACAAAAATTAATTATTCGGAGGCCTAAACGAAGGAATTTGGCTAAAATCCCGAGATCTCCGCCCCAAGTCCAATTTTTCGGGCCATTTCCAATCAACTAGCCAAATTTCAGCCCATTCCGACACCGTCACGACAAATGCCAAAATTGCCCTTGGCGCGGTCTTTTTTTGTATATTTGCTGTCCAGCACTTCTTCAAACTCCAAAACTAGTTGTTCTACATCAATTTTTGTGCATTAATTTTAACAACATTTTTTCAATCAATCACCAGATTTCTTACACACAGAGAATGTCAAAGATGATGTCAATCACAAGTGTACAAGAATCATAATTTTTTTTTAATATTGGAAGAATGATATATCACTTAACTACCTTATTTAATTTATAAGGGTCTGCTTGACGGGAATTCTTTTTCTTATAGTAGAGTTTCCTCATAAAATTAACTTGTGACAATTTTTTTCCAAAATCTAGTTACTTAAAAGTAACTTTATTTGGTTATAAACATAACCAAACATGGTGGAAGTCCCACGTAGGATCCTTGTCTAGTACTATGTAGGCTTCCAAATAAAAATGACAACCACTTGACTATTATTAACCCAACAACTCACCACCAATTCATGATAGGTGTCACATGCATTGCCCTACCTTAGTTCATGATAGGGTCACACAACATGTGAGTAGATTTTGATGATTTTAATAAGCAACCGACTATGGACCCACTCCATGATCCTTATTGGGAATTAAATACTTATCTACTTCCATTATTATATGTAATCCAATGATTTGTCATCCAAACAAACCATAATAACCAGAAATAATCAATGATATCAACTTCACATCTTTTCAAGTTGGGTTTTATTGTGCTTACTTTCAACCATTGAATTCAAAGATTGTGACAAACAGTACGTGTGTTGGTTGTTATCCTTTACGTGTTTAGTTAGTTGCGAATAAAGAGTGTAGAAATAAGAATTTTAATGTAATCGAAAAGGGATAAGTTTATTTGTTAAAGTACGTTCTTATCGTGTTTTCTTTTTTAAATGTTTTATAGTATAAATGAATAATATCACGTGACAAAAGCAAGGGTTTACATCATCAAGCATGCACGACTATCGTCATTGAATTTTAATGTTATCTTAAAGTTATTAATAATAATTCCTTTTATTTAAATTTAAAAAAATCGAATTAGAAAAACTAAAAGGTGTACGCCTTTTGATGGCTATGCCCGCGGGCGATCAAAATAGTGCGAACGGGTGCCTTCGCACGCTTCATGCCTTGATCTTTCCTTTTCCCACCTTAACTAATGCATATAAAGTATCGTTTCTGTTGAAGATAATATTGTTTTAACATCTTCAAGTAGGGATGGTAAAGTGAAGGGATTTAAAAAAAAATGATTTCTCATCTTATTTACTTATTTATTTATTTAAAATCATTCTATATTAAAAATAAACTAAAATAAATAAAAATAGTCAGCAAGCTATGGGGAGCCGACCATGTTCCCTGTTCCGATTCCCAGATGGGACGGGGCAACGTAGGGTGGAAATGAAGCATTTAGCCATTCTAATCTTTAAGTTTTAAATTAAATAGTTCAACATTACATATTAATGCAAGTATTGTCATCACTCACCAATAAATAATAGGACTGAGCAAAATGTTCGAACCGAACCGAATGATTTTTCTTAAATGAAATACATAAATGGGTATTCGAATCGAGAACCGAATGGTTTGGTTTGGTTCTCGGTTCTAGACAAAAAATCGAAAAATCGAATAAGAATCGATTTTTTTTT